AGCTGTTCATTACACAACTACTACTAACGAATCTAAAACAACTAAGTTTCTCTAATATTTTGTGATTTGCATTTGATTTCGTCCAGCCAGATCCTGGCGGACAATCCATGACGGGGAAGGGATTCTACTACTACTGAGGCGTCGTGCTAAAAGGCACCGCACCGCACCGGCTGTGCGCAGGCAAGAGGAGGAGGAATGGATGATATACCGTGTATATATGTATATTTATGTTCATTTTGTACATTTCTAAAAATAAAGTTTAATGGAAATACTTAGTAGGCCTATCCTTTCTTCCCTGAATTCATATATAGCAAACCATGATTTGATTTCTCATCAAACAGTAGTAGTTTATAACGGGTAAAAATAACTTACTCTTTGTTATGAGAGTAGCTCGTAGGCCACAACGGAAAGACAAGGAGACATACACGAGTTTACAAAACCACGGCACATTTATTGTGGTAAATGCAAAGATAGGTGGTTGAGAGGATCGCAGAGTTAGTCTTCCTGCAGCCGCTTTGGAGAGAGACTGGGGCCGTCGTGTCCGGAGGTGTCCGTGATCGTGCTGATTACCCTCTTCAGCTCCACCCCATCGTAAGACAAAGGCCCTGGGGCCGTCACACTCTTCTATAACAACAGTTAAAAATATATATGTATATAAAATATACCGCTGTACCGACGCCATGATAAGACTGATGTTACGCTGAGAGCAGCCGGGAAAAGCACTGACATGGGCGCAGCCTCTCTGGTGGTTGACTAATCAGAACGAGTGGCCGAGCTGACCAATCGGAGCACACTAGGCTCACAGGGAGGGGGGGGCAAGAGCTCCAACGAGTCGTTTAGTGGAGAAAGTGAATACTGCTGAATACACATGCTTGACAGAGATGCTGTATGCGAAACCAATGTGAGTTTGGAAAATTGCACAGTATAAATCTATTTTAGTATACCTCAACAATGTAATTATGATCAGTGGAAATGGCCATGACATGGGCCCTTTAAGTTGGCGTGACGTTGAAGTCGTGCGACCCTGCTGTACTCGGCTGTAGTTCGTTTATAGCATAACGTTAGCATTTTGCTTCTGGCGATTAGATTTATGATTCGAACATTATAAAGGTAGGGTAGACATGTGGATATTATCCGGCTGAACAAAACGTGCATTTATCAAACAGACCTTATTTCGAGCTATTTTCCAAAATCCTATGGAGAAATCCCATTGCTTTTTTGTCGAGGGAACCCATGCGTGCGCAGTTTATTCCCGGTGTTGTGTCAAATTATGCACCCCCATCATGAAATGCCCCCCTTGTCACGGGAACACGCATTTCTAAATGACACGTTTACACCTTAAAACGATGTTTAAAACGAAAAGTAAACGTTCAGGGTTTTTATTAATGGTAATTTTCAGACTGTGAGTTGTTTAGTGGTAGCTCATATAGTCTTGATTCTTGTGGTTAAACTTTTCGCTCCGTATTTGATGGTAGTGGTGTCGAAATTCATTCGTCACTTCCTTTTCAGTTTTAGTTTTTTTTAATCTTTTTATTTTTTATTATTGTTAGGTCCTGTCTGTATACACGTGCTTTAAAATGTATTGTTTAATTTTACATATTTGTCAATGAAATAAAGAAGTGACATATTATCCATACTAAAATTGTGTACATTGAACAACATGTCATATTCATCTTTAACCCTTGTGTTGTGTTCGAAAGCTGTTACCGTTCATGGTGTTCGCGGGTCAATTTTGACCCATGATTTATCTCCATCTCCAAAACACTCCAAAATAATGACTATCATCCAATATTGTTTTAACTCCATCATAACCTTTAAATTACAACAGGATTGTTTGGTCATTATTTTGGAGTGTTTTGGAGATGGAGATAAATCATGGGTCAAAATTGACCCGCGAACACCATGAACGGTAACAGCTTTCGAACACAACACAAGGGTTAAAGATGAATATGACATGTTGTTCACATGCTGACTTTGATTGCTTACCATGTCACTGGACTCTAATCTTCAAAATGAATGTTTATTTTATGTGTGATAATGTACACAATTTTAGTATGGATAATATGTCACTTTATTTCTTTATTTCATTCAACATGTATTATTAATTACTGTGTGTATGTAAATGTGTTGGGCAATTGCAGGACTGGCCCTCACTCCATATTTGTTTTATTTCTGACTCGGGTGATAAACCAGGCCTGTCATAAAATGCACCCCACCCAAAAAGATGTTTGTATTAATCCCACCCTCAAGCTTTTTTCAGGGTATAGTTTTAGGACTAGTACCAATGAATGGAGCAAGTTTCATGTATGTGACCCTTTTATTTTGTAAGATATTAAGGGGGGGCATATTGTGATAACCAGGCCTGTCATAAAATGCACCCCACCCAAAAAGATGTTTGTATTAATCCCACCCTCAAGCATTTTTCAGGGTATAGTTGTAGGACTAGTACCAATGAATGGAGCAAGTTTCATGTATGTGACCCTTTTATTTTGTAAGATATTAAGGGGGGGCATATTGTGATAACCAGGCCTGTCATAAAATGCACCCCACCCAAAAAGATGTTTGTATTAATCCCACCCTCAAGCATTTTTCAGGGTATAGTTGTAGGACTAGTACCAATGAATGGAGCAAGTTTCATGTATGTGACCCTTTTATTTTGTAAGATATTAAGGGGGGGCATATTGTGATAACCAGGCCTGTCATAAAATGCACCCCACCCAAAAAGATGTTTCTATTAATCCCACCCTCAAGCATTTTTCAGGGTATAGTTGTAGGACTAGTACCAATAAATGGAGCAAGTTTCATGAATGTGACACTTTTATTTTGTAAGATATATGGAAGCAAACAAGAGACAGGAGTATTTGAATTTTATCAGACACCGAATTTATAGCATTGAAAATAATTACTTTGAAAATCATGCATCTGAATTTTTTTGTGTGAAATAAAAATGTAACAATTAAAGTTAAAAAAATTCGATGTCAAAAATGTCGAGGCCAAAAATTGAAGTGAAAACAATTCGAATGCACAATTTCGGTGTTTAAAAATTCGATGTCAAAAATTGCGATGCAGCATCATCCGGGCTACCCAGTCAGGATAAGCAATCGAGCCCAAATGCAGTCAAACCGATTTATGGCCTATCGGAGCCAAACGGCGAACTCTGGGACAGTGCGGTGAAGCCCAATGCTGCAAACTGTAGGCGATGGATGCAGATGGGAGCAATTCTCATAGACCCTATGTTAAAATGTCCAACTTAACATCAGAAAATGAACATGTTTCTAGCCTGGATCCAAAAAAACATATTCTGTATTACAGCGACGTGCAGTCAGTGGAGGCAGGGGAGGCAGAGCCTCACCAGTCATACTCCAATGTAACGGAAAAACAACTAAAGAAAAACGAAATAGTAATAATAATAAAATGTCTCCACTGATCTGTGTTGTAAGTGTGATTTATGTATGATTCTAATCGCTTTTTATAGTCAAAATCAGCAAATTTGCCGAGCTCCGCTACGGGAGCGATGAGAAGTGAGGCAGGGGCGTGCTCTGCCTCTCGTAAACCCACAGTAACGGTACGTCTACACAGCAGCGTTAAAAAAATCTTGGAGGTGGGCGTATCTGAAGCTTGAGGATTTTTTGCGAGCAACCAATCACATGAATCTCCCGCCCGCGACATACGAAGCAAAAAAGCCCGAAGTAAACTGGATATAAACTCCCCAAAACAGGCGAAAACCTACCACTGTCTCTGCCACCTCCCTCCATGCCTGGCTCCTCCGGTTTATATCCCGGTAGGTCTGGTCATAAAGCACCGGGTGATTGATTCGCTACCGCTAATTTCTCCTCCATGTTTTGGAATATGAGGAAATGACCTGCGGTATGTCTCTCCCAGCATACACGCCGTTTGATTGGCTAGAGCTTGAACTGTCAGATTTGCGTACACGGGATTTGATTGGCTGCCGCTTCCACCTCAGCCTCAAAAGTTGAACATTGTTCAACTTTGAATCCTCAAAATCCTGAAAATCTCCGCTCGCCTGCCCACAATGCATTTTGGCGAAAAGTGAGGGAAAGTGACGTCACCCCATTCAAAGTGAATGGGCAGAAGCGTTTCAAGATTTTTTTAACGCTGCTGTGTAGACGCACCGTAACTTGCTGGAGCGCGGGCACTAATGTAGCGCGGGCACTTATTTTGTGAGCGCGCTCAAGCCATTTACTGTGGGCTGAGGTGAGGCACAGATGAGATCTGCCTCACCTCAGAATGCGTCACCCCACAGAAACTGGCTGGAAAGCGGGCCCTAAGCGCATGCCTGTTACCACCATCTCACTGTAGGTCACCAATGTAATGTATGTAGATCCCTTTATTACATTTATCCTCGCCATCCATAGTCTCTAAATAACTTATTTCACGTATATATGATATTTAGGCTCGCTGCTCTCAACGGCAATGAAAAAGCACCAGGGGAGGCAGCCATAACCTCTGCCGCACTGAAGGGGGCGCACGTGAGCCCACAGGTTCTTGTTGCTACTGTAATTCTACGCAGAGACGGTAGACGTAACAACAAACTAGACTTTTGAAACTAGAGGGAGATAAGGAGGACTTTTACAAAAAAGTAATAGAGATTGTTGTCCAGAAGGATAGCATGGACTTCATCTTCAAGTCAAGGTAAGACCACATTTGTAATGAAAATGGGATCTTACTAAGAAAGAACAATCCAATATTTAGATTTTGGGTATCCTTTTGTTGAACGGTCTGTTTAAAATGAATCGAAGCATCAGACTAAAAAAGCTTTTGAAAATAACCGAATATTTCGATTAAGGTCAAAATATAATATTTGTAAATCTGACTCAGTGCCTCACCAGCCATGAACCTCACCGCACGTCACTGCTGTATTAGATTCCCCCTTCATGACAACGGGACTGCTGCTCCTAGCTGCTCTGTCTCACTGCTAGCTTCGTTAGCTCCATTAGCTCCGTGATGGGGCTCAGCTCATGAGGAGAACACTACTTGAACTCGGCCGTGTTTGTTGTGTTGGCTCCTGGTGGACTATTCATCATGCAAATATAGGATTTATATGCGGTTAAAACAGACCGTCCATGAATGCAGTTTCTTCGGTAAGTCAACCCTGCGTACTTTATGTTATGTTACTGGTGTTTTTATTAAGCTAACGTTAATGAATGTTTTAGAGTTGGGTTAGCATTTGAGCAATCGTAGCATCCAAGTTAAAGGTAATGGAGAAGTGTAAAACATTAAGTGGGATGCTACTGTATACCAAAAGGCTTCTGTGTGAGGTTGGTAAAATATGGTCATCCTTGTACGTTAGATAGTTAATTTGCTAGTTAGGTTACTGTATAAATTGTTAAGGTTCATTTAAAGGTGGGGTAGGTAAGTTTGAGAAACCGGCTCGAGATACACTTTTTGTTATATTCCATGGAATGCTCTTAACATCCCGATAGCAATGAATATCTTAAGTGCTTTGACAAAAAATCCGTAAAAAAATTTCACCTGTGGAAGCCGTAATACTGTAAAAAGTACGACCAATCATTTTAGCGGGCCCGGCTAAAATAACTGGATGGCCTACCTGCCTGTCAGCCTTCCATGTGCACAAACTTATCTCGTGCCCTCATTGGTCATGTGCGCGTTCGTGTGTGTTGGAGGAGGGGCTCTATGGAGTGGCGAAGTCCCTCCCCTTCCGGTGGACCTCCATGGGACCTTATTTCGGAAAAATTATGTATTGAAGTCAATGGAGAGAGAAAGATTATCTTTCGATCCCGTTTGAATTGTGCCACGAATTACACATATGTGACCCGCTCTATCGAAATCAGTCGGATGTCGCAACGGCTCATTTCAAAATAAACGTGGATTTGCGGAAAAAACTATTTTTTCGGGGTTCGGGTGTTTTGTTTGATTTTAAATAAACAAAGTCTTGGCTTTCAGAATATGAAACTTTTATTTCCAAAATCACACGATAAATACATTTGTGAAGCTTGTAAAGGGAAGATGACAGGCACCTCTCAATCGCAATCTGCTGTTCCGTAGCGCAGCTCCCCCTCCCTCCGGCTGAAATTATGAATGTAAGGCATAAGTAATCATAGATAACACGGCAGGGTCCGTTACAGTTTGTTTTCATCTGATTTCAATTAAACAAAGTCTTGGCTTTCAGAATATTAAACTTGTTTCGGCAAATTTAGATGATAAATACAACTATGAAGCTTGTAACGGCATATTTACAAGCGGAGAACGGAGTAACTTAACGTCACAGCAAGCATAACAACAGCCGGTGTTTCTCGTGAGTGTTTTCCCCGGGAAACAAACACAATATACACAAACGCAAAAATACACAAACACAAACACACACATGCATTCACACACTCGCGAGCTTCCCCCAGACCAGTAATCCAAACGGAAATATTTTCCCTCCGGACTATTTTGATCATTTGCTCCGCTAATAATCAATCAGATCGATGGATTCCAGAGAAGAGGAAACTTTGAAGGCCTTTTTCTCAAAATGATGACTCGGTGACAGTCATTATATAATGTGACATATTTAGCTTGATATTTGGAGTACAACAAAAATCTTGATATCATTAGAAAGCTAGGAATCTCCTCTTTCCAACAGTGTATACAACTCAAAATGTGTCTTCGGGTCAATGCGACTGATTTCGATAGAGCAGGTCACATATGATGTTTGTCAATTTAAAAGATAATTTTGCAAGTCAAAAAAAAAAAAATGTGTCGTAAAACTGTGAAGTAACACATTTGTTTGTGTGAAACGCTCAATGAACTACATCTCTGGTCAACAACACACGTCACCAAGATGGCCGTCACTACTGTCTTGTCAACAAAACGATTGACTATCCTCACTATCACCACAATGAAACACGTCCTGAAGAATGTCATGCAAAGCTGCCTGCCTGCCTTCCTTTGATTCTCTCTGAACTGCCTGGTTGTTTTAATGTTTAATGTCAACCATTTGTGCAGATAGCATGAAGTAGAGAAGATCGCCGATGCTAACGTTAGCGTTAGCATTTCTCCCCCGGGCTTAAATGGTGTATTATAGAATGATCACACCGGTGACAGTACTATTCAAAGGGTTCACGAAATATGACTACTACTCTTACTGTTTAACATTTTGGGTTACTTAATGTTACTTCATGTTAAGGCTAATAAAAATGACAAGGCTGTAATGCTAACTAACGTGCTAGCTACTAGCTAGGTAGCTAACTTGATCAAGCCACTCCTGGTCCTTTCATCAGACGGGAAGCAAAAGAATGAGCAAGACCCATTGCTGGTATAATAACAACCTGGTACTAAGCACACAGGCATCTTGTTAAAGTTATCTTATCTTAGCCAGCGCCATATAGATAGATTATATCTATATTGCGCTGATCTTAGGTATCTGAATGGTGGAGGAAAACAATTGTGACATCACTTACGTGACTCTGGGATTTGTAGTCTTTCTAGTTACGTATTTTTCATAGTCTTATATTTCAACAGTTTTACGACAAACTGTGACTTTTTTGACATGGAAATTATTTTTTAAGATTGACAAACATCATATGTGTAATTCATGGCACAATTCAAACGGGATCGAAAGATAAGTTTTCTCTCCCCATTGACTTCAATGCATAATTTTTCCGAAATAAGGTCCCATTACCCGGAAGTAAGTGGGCGTGACTTCGCTACTCTATAAGGAAGTGGCAGATTTTCTCCGGTTGTGTATTTTCAAATTCTAGCGATCTCGAGCCGGTTTCTCAAACTTACCTACCCTACCTTTAAATTCGCTATGCTCTACTATAGCATAACATAGACTAGCTAACGTCAACGTATTGTTGAAGAGAGGCTTAGTGTATATTTAATCAACCTCACAATAAAATGTGTGTATCTTTAAAATATTAACGTCACATTTCAAGATGGTCCATAAATAACGCTCCCTTAGATATTGTAATATGGTTTGTTGAACTGGAGTTATTTATTGAAGCTAACCGCCTATCCGACGAACGACCCAAACATTGTTGTTTTTAATATTATTCACTAGCTGGGAAAGCACTTCCAGAAACCCAGTATTAAATGCAGCTTGTCGCTCATCCTGCCGCTCCTGGCGCCGCTCGCGCTGCGCCGACGCTTCCTCATGGCGCAGCGCCCACACTTCATCCTGGTGCTGCTGGCGCTCCATCTGCTGCTGGAACACTTCTGCCTGGCGCTCCATCGAGGTGAGCATTTTGTCCTCCGTTTCCTGGGCCTTGGTGAACTGCACCACCTGATCTCCGCGCAGCGACTCATTCACCACGGCACGCCGGTCCTCCAACGCCTGGACGGTCTCAAAGAAAAGTGCATCCTGTGTCCGCTTTCCTAAGAGGGGAAAATAAGCAAGATACAAGATCAACAACCAGAGACAATACATCATGTATTTTTTAGCTGCCCGGATTATAACAGACAAAGACTCATTCTGAAAACTGCACTGGAACAACTCAACATCAAGGACATGGATTTCAAGTCAATATATGAAAGTAAATCAAGCAAACAAGCTGATCTTCAAATTCTTCAAAAGCACTGGTCTGAGGACAAGGATTTAATAAAAACATTTAATAAATCAACAGTAGGTGGTGATATATGCTCCAAGTGGAAGCGATTTCTTACCGGAAGTCATGTGACCTCTAGCCCGGATGTTTACAATGTTTGTGATAGAGTAAAAAGGCGCGAAAATTTGTAAATGCCGGTCTAGGCAAATACGTTTTCACGCTGTTTCATAATTGTACCAAGAAGGAAATAAACATGATTGTGAACATCAGTTCCATGCGTAACGTTCTTTCAAGACAAAGTTACAGTGTGTGTACCTTTGCGTTTGGTTGCCGGTAAGGGAGACGAGCAAGCGCTTTGATCTTCAACGCCAAGCTCGCTTGTTTCCAATCCCGAGAGTTGATGATTTTCCTCGCCTGAAACACACGATTAGTGCCATGAGTTAGTGAAGCAAATTACAGAAACACTGCACAGTTATTCACAAGTCAAAATGTTTTCATAGCGGCCGAGAATATCTAGCTAGCTAGATGTTATTAGCCAGCTCGGGGCCAGTGTTAGCTAGTTCAGCCTAGCATGGCTAGCTTGATCTACTGAGCAAATAAAAGTACATCTGAGACCATTATTGTGCAGATTAAAACCCCAGTGCATGTAGTTGCTTTTACCTTCGTCGTGGTCGCCCTCTAAATCCGCCGTTGGAGCGGCCTCCGATGCCATACTGCCCGAATCAAGGCTCGATGCTGTACCTGAGAATGAAGGTCTGTGGCCTAGCAAAGCATCCAAGCGGTCGAACCATTTACTGGTCCTCCGGTCGTTACCACTTTTATTGTTCCAGTCTTTAGTTTTTTTGTAGTCCTGCCGGAGTTTCTTTATTTTCAGCCGGCATGCCATGGCGCTGTGCAAGATTCCCATCTCCAGCAACTTGTTCGAACAACGATCGAACATCTTCGAGTTGGGTACTGGCTTCAGCAGCATTCCCTGGGTCGCGTCCTCGGTGTAGATGTCCAGAAGCGCTGATACCTCCTCATCACTCCATCGCTCCGATTTCCTGATGTTTGCCATAACTGCGTTAAAAAACAAACTACTCTCTCCGTCTACTCTCTCCGTTAGTGCGCTGGGGTTTTGTAGCGAGGAAAAACAATGGCGGCTCTACAAAACATTTTCACAGTTGTACGGGGCGTGGTTTGCAATTCGCCCAGCCAATCAGCACTGGGGCACTTTTCACCCACAGGAAAGTACGATCTCTCAGCGGGCTCTAAAAATGGGGGTAAAAGTTCCCGAGATTAAGTACGATTTTTGGTGTGAACGAAGAATGCCTCTTTTCATTGTATTATCATCACACTTGAGAAACAGCCTTATTGTGGCTGTAGAACGGAACATGTAACTTAATGCCTGCATTTAAGGACGATGAATAGCGTAGTCAATGCTTTAGTGACAAGGAAATGATTTGTTTAAATATTAGATATGACGTTATCTGTGAATTCAGTGCAAATTAAGCTTATCCATTGCATTGCATTTGTTAAATAGGTGTATGTCTTACCCTTACGTGTGTGATATGAATATGGCATATGAAAACTAATGAATTTGACTGACTCGTGAAAAACACATCGAAAGTAACAGTAAAATAAAAAGGACCTACACAATAATACTCAATCATACTGATAAGATACAGTATAAGGACTGTGATATCCAGCAATTTCTTAAGTATAACGATAAGATTATGACCTGTTTTTAAAAGAAGATAAAAAGTTGTTTGCATGTAAAGAAGTCTGTAAGCCACACATGTAACTTTACATCTGTTTGTTCAAAGTGTCCTTAAGGTGATCCAGACAGGCTGGACAGGAGGAGGAGAGACAGATCTGGACTCCTAACAGCAGAGAACTTCAGCACGGATTCCAAGGTACACCTTTTTCATACTTTACAAAGAATGCATAAAGTTATTGGTTTTAAAAAATAAAGTAATGACTCTTAATACACTGATATACATGCCATTAAACATTACTAACTACTAGATCACCTACACATCAGTGATGTTGAGTGTACTTTCTTAGCAAAAGGTTACATTTACATTTGACCAAGCAACATAACCTATTTGTTCAACTTTCACATTTCAATGTATTTAAGGCAAATATTATTGAACATAGTGAGAACTGCGACCCTTTGTCTCTGCATATTGACTGTAAAAAAACATGTTAAAAGTGATTCTTTCAGTGAGACAACAGAAAATAGCAAGCTTCTACAGTTGCACTAAGTTTTGATAACAGTTAAATATTATTTTAATAATACATTTATTTCAATGTTGATGAATTTAGAACGGTTTATTCATAATCTGATTATCTTTGTAGTACACAGTTGAATTTGAAAAACACATTCAAATAAAAAAATCATTATATTTATAGCCCCTGAACAAACAAACACACCTCTTTCTTAAATAACACACTTGCTCTGCAATAATATGTTTTTTGATATTTCTGTTAGGAAAGGACATGCCTGAGAGACAGGACTGCTTCACCATTTTCTCTTTCTCTGAGGGTCCAGAAGAACATCCAAGAGGGAAAGGAAAAGCTGATGTTATGAGATTTAAGAGCAGTACAGGACATTCACTAAGAGACACTTATATTGTAACACAAAGACCTGCACACTGAATAGTTTTGTAGTCTAACAGGAACTTAATTTTTGTGTTGTTTTGTGTTTTACCTCAGAGACAGTGTGATTATTGTCAGGCCTATAAAGTTTGGCAAAAGAAAAAGTCAGCTGATCAAATGCATTTGCCTCACTTTATGAGCTTCACAATACTTGAGCCTTGTACCGCAGAGTTTGCAACGTCACAAATGAATGGTGCCAATCTTCAGTCAGATGTGAATGTGTAATTTAACATTTTCAGCAAGAATAACGGACAAAAGGAGTACAAATACAATTTATTGAAATGTGAACTAAAAGTTATCAAGCATGAACCATCACAATGTTTTAAAAATAAAAACAAAGTAATATACATAAGTTACACTAAATGTTAATCTGTTAATTGATTAAGTAAACACATTTTGTCAAATAAAGTGACAGGCTAGGCCTGTGCAGGGGGTAACAGCTATGCCCAGCATGGGCTAAGTTCTGTAGGTGCAGCTGGTGCAGGTCCTCCTCCCTCAGGCCTGGTCCTCCTCGCAGGGAAAGACCCTCAGCCCTCTCTGGCCAAACCAACAGACAGGACGTTCATAAAGCTGAGGTTTCCCCCAAAGTCTCTAATCACCCATCCTGTGAATATGAGAGGGGAAAAAATAGTGTAATAGATGCTTTGGACATGTTGAGTTGCTCAGTTTTTTTAGATTGACAATGCTACTATTGCATTACTAATATCTCACATCTAAGGGTTTAATAATACAAAAAAAAGGAGAGTCACCGTAAAATAAAGATTGGTCTTTCAATAAATTGTGTTGATTTTGTCTTTAGAATTGTTTGTCTAAAGTCAAGTAGCTAGAACTGGTACTTATAGTTTGAATGATACAGTCTGGTTATAATGTTTGGAGGGGGCATCACAGGTTAGAGCACCATTTGTTGTGTTCCATCCACAACAAATGCACACAGATTGATGTGTGTATTTATTTATCTACTATTTCTTGAATCATTACTGTCAGTCCAAAACAAGAGATTTTGTTTTAGTAACATGTTTTTAAAACATCTGTTTTCCACTACACTATCTTGAATATTTTAGTTTTTACATCACTACATTTATCTTGCTTTAACATTGTAAAGGTGTCACTTCGGACTATTTTGAGAGTTTGAACAAACCAGACCTTCATCTATTAATGTAGAAAATAATCAGCACATTAAACCATGATGAAAGTAATCATTAGTTAGCTCATTGTTCAAAATGAGCTCCAACTACAACAGTTAAGTCAACTCTTGCATGGGTAATAACAATAAAACAAATTATATAATATAATAGTATAACTTGTGTCTACTTTAAATACTTTAACAACACTTTCCTGATTATACTAGCATACTTTTACTAAAGTAACATTAACATGTTTAAATGCAGGGCTTTTGTAAGATAGTATTTGTATAGTGTAGCATGGTCTACTTGACTTATCTAACCGAGGTGATCATAACGTTACTTTTTCTCCCGGGTTGTTGTGATCACATGACTGACAAAGCCGTGCTCTGATAGGCCAGAATTCGGTTCGATTGCATTCAGGCTCGATTGCTTATCCTGACTGGGTAGCCCGGATCGCAATTTTTGACATCGAATTTTTAAACACCGAAATTGTGCATTCGAATTTTTTTCACTTTAATTTTTGGCATCGACATTTTTTACATCGAATTTTTTTAACTTCAATTGTTACATTTTTATTTCACATAGGTAAATTCGGAGCAAAACAATTCAGATGCATGATTTTCAAAGTAATTATTTTCAATGCTATAAATTCTGTGTCTGATAAAATTCAAATACTTCTGTCTCTTGTTTGCTTCCATACTACTAAACAACTCACAGTCGTTACCATAATACCAACATTACCATTAATAAAAACCCTGAACGTTTACTTTTCGTTTTAAACATCGTTTTAAGGTGTAAACCAGACGTGTCATTTAGAAATGCGCGTTCCCGTGACAAGGGGGGCATTTCATGATGGGGGTGCATAACATGCATTGACACAACACCGGGTCAGCCTACAAAACTACGTCATCCCGTCTTGGTTGTAATAACTTCAAGTCCCACAATGCAGTTCGCGTAACGTTGGTTGATTTGGCTTCAAGCGGGAGATGAACATATTGATCAGATGATTTTGGAAATGTAGCTCTGCGTCTGGGTGGGTTATTGTGGCTGTCATTGGTAATAGACAGCCGGACTAATCCTTAAAATGTGAAAAGACTCAGAAAACCCAGGAAACACTCGGTAAGAAACCCCATGTATTTGTACTCCAATGCTAAGTAGCAAGCGCGTTAGCAAGTTAGCTAAACAGAGCACTTCCTGAAACAACGACTTGCTAATATCACATTTTATTTTGTTAGCCAGGCACTGTCAGTAAGACCTTTATACATACTCTTAACGTATGAAGCTACTGCAAGTAACTGTGTTAAAGGCGGGACAAACATTCTTCAAATACTTGACAATAACTCAAAAACACTACCATGTTGTTAGCACAACGTAAACACGTTCATCAAGTCAGTTAACGTTTCCTTGATAACGTTACCTATCTTTTGATAGTTGCTAACATCAGCACTACCGATAGATAGCCCTGGGTTTCAAAGTAACCATTTGTTTGTTGTTGTGTTTATCAATAATAAAATATCAAAGCGAAAAAAGTTACATTCCGTCCCATATATCTGCAAAATATGTCTGCTGTCAGTCACTAACGTAGCTCAATGTGATTGGCAGACACTGCAACAGGTCAGGTGTCTGCTTTGTGTTGGCTGTGCTAGGTGTGTCGTTTGTGCTGCGCTTTTGAACTTTTTACCTTTTTCTTTCAAAATGGCCAAGTTGCACTATTGTCGTCATGGAGATGAAAACTTACTTTGATTTAAGAAATATGAGCGGTTCCCACTTTGTTTACGGAGCTCTCACTATACTACCCCCGAGGAATACAGGTGGGTCAAACTGTCGCGTCCAGCACTGTCAACAGTCGCTGTCTCGGGTAAAAACTGTATAATTAGTTAATTTGACACACTTGCCTTAAAACTATTGTTTTTATGCTTGCACTTTTACCTACTGTAAATTATGGTGTCTCGTAAGCAATTACTTATGACTTATTATTAGATTTATATTTAACCTAGTTAGCTAACATATCAAGTTGTTGTTTGGACTGGGTAGACCTAGAAATACAAAAATAAAAACAAGCTCTAATAAAGCTGGTATACATCCTATGAATATCTTTGTTATTAACAGGTTGGATATGGATATGATTAGATGTTATATGTTGTCATGGTAATTGTTAAAAACATGTTAATTTTATTTGCATCTTGCTTGACCGTAGATTTGGTTGAGGCAAATCCATTTGGGTGTGCATGTGTGAAATGTTGACATGGCAAACAGTGAATGCAACTAGATGCAGCTCTCAGACAGATTCTCATGCGTTGCTTTAAGAAGTGATCAAACTGTTTCTGCTTTAAAAATGTAGTAAGAAGAACCTCCTTGTGTCAGGCAGCATGACAAAGAAAAATGTGGCCTGTGACTGTGCAGCAGTAGTTTAGTCTGTAGTGACAGTAGCGACATAACTTCATAGGTCCTGTTGGTGCATGTGTGTATTTCGGGCCTATGTGTGTAATTGTAAATAACACCAGAGTGAAGATTTTAATTTCCCCTCAGGTTTTAATAATGTGATTGAATAACAATAATGATTCAAAAAAACAGGACAACCTGTTCAGACTTTAGCATTCAATGGCACACAATATTTAGACAAAACGCCATAATGCAAAATTGTTTCTTCTGTGTTTCAGTGAAGGACCCCACATTACAGCAATACCACTGGCCGCATTTTGCACCTTTTCATCAGGAGACTCCAATGAAGCCATCTAATTTCCTTAACCGGTTTTCTTCACCACCACCACCACCCCCCACTAGAATGTTACCATTCCAATGTCCTGAACTGCCGAACCGTTGGATACCATGTCCTCCATGGCCGCCTTTTCCACCTCCAAGACCAATCTATTCGTCGGGGTTTGTTCCAAGAACCCCGCCTAAAATGGGTTCTTCAGGGAGTAGGTTCCAAGTCATGCCAAGGGGCAGTCCAGCTCCTCATCATCATCATCACCATAACTATCCACCTCCAGGGTTTTTCTTCTCATCTGGGTGTGCTCCATTCAGCCCACCTAAAAGGTTTACTCCAGTTCCCAGACCTCCCAGACCTCCCAGTGTCTTTCACCCTGCATCTCCTCAATTCATGAGACATTTTAGCAACTATCCACCACCTTCCCACATCAGAAGAGATCAAGCGACTGAATCCACGATCAATGCGACATACTCAGGAAGTCAAAATGTGACGGCACAAAGTCAAGAATCAAACAAGGTAATGTTTTTCTGTTTTTAATAAGTTAAACCAAAGCTACCTTAACATTACAAAAAACATTTGAAAACAGAAATCCAATTTTTTTCCATTCAGATCTTGAACACTTGTCGCATGTGGTCATAAATGCAATACGTATCCAATCACTGGCAATAGGACCGCTCAAGCCTGACTGTTAGGTGCTTCCTGAAAGCTTGTCTTTTTTAATTCTACCACCTTGATGCACTGACAGATATCAGAATGTATCCCTGGACATCCTAAAGTCTGGGAGAAACTGTTCCCACATAGGTTGGTTCACAAGGATGTTAGATATCGCTCACTTCAAACATGAATGTGAACCGTATAGGATGAAAGATCAACTCTGGTGAAAAAAATTGCGATTGAGCTTTAAGCCCTGTATTGTAGACATAGCCTAAGATTGTTCTTGTTTTTGACCTGTACTACATTAAAACATTTTCTGTTAGGCTCCATCCAGTGATGTAAGGAGTTCCATACCCACTATCGAGCTTCAAAAGCCACCCTTTACCCCATCATTCGGCCCCAGCGACGTTCCAGAAGTTTCCCCACTGCCTATTATAGGCTCGGAGCATTATGGGAGCAGCCAGAGGCCCCACAGCCCTCTTCTTCCTTGCGAGGTAAAATGAATTCTTCTTAATATCTGTATAACTGATTGTCTCTTTCTACAATTTAACAAATGGTGTAGCTTGGCCTTTGATGAGCTTGGCTTTTTCTCACTTCAAAAAACCCTTCTTTTCAAAGACACACTTTCTTCTTCTTTTTTTAGAACCAACAACATAAAAGAACACCTTCAAAGGGAAACGTAATAACAGGTAAGATTATCACAGTAATTCTGCCAATTTTACACTTTTAAATTCTTCCTAAGGCTGTGTGCTTTAATCTTGTAGGCATGTAGTATCTTTGGCACTGCAGTACGGTGAATCGTGTTTACTTGAGTGATGAAGATGCATGGCACTAAACATGTCCACTAGTCTAGCAA